TCCTTTGTTTTTGTTTGTCGAGTGCATTTTTTGCTGTTTCCATTTCTGTGTCGGACAGTTGGTGGACGCCGACAAGAAGGGAGTAGTCGATGAGGTGCATGTCACTCATCAGTTCGCTGTCTTTTTCGACTTGTGTTTTGAACGCATTAACCAAATTTGGACCGATTTTGATGACCGCTTTTTGGTCGAGGAAGTCGATATCTTTGTAACATGGCGATTTCTTTCCCCTTTCATTCTCGTCAGCTTTTCTTCCATACAGTGATCCTTTCAAGTCAAATTTGAATTGTAGAGGAAATTGTGTGTTAGGAAACAAATTGTTCATCACAACGTATCGATACTCATCCCCATGTTTTGGTTTAATTCGATACATCCCATAAAATCGTGGAATTAATGTTTGTGGATTTTCTTGAATGAATGCAAAATACTTTGGCAACACTTTCACTAGGATTTTCTCTTCTCTTTTTGGTATCACTTTTAAGATGTATTTCGAATCTTTTGTAAACATAAATAACGACCCAGACTTCCCCGCTCCAATATTCGGGGGCGTCAAATTGCCATCCCCACATATCGACCGCATCATCTCTCTATCACTCACTCCAAAAAAGCGACGAATGATCGCAAATGCCATCGGTGAATACTCTTTTGCTACATACGGCTCAACACCCTTCGGCACTGCCATCTTCTTATCAATATCATCACATATGTCTCGACACTTCTCACTCACAAATTTGGTGTACTTGTACGTGTTAAACACCTCACCAACACCTTTCAATTCTTTTAACTCTTTATGACGATACACATTGTAATCATTCGTACTCACATGAACTTGCCCAAGGTAATACTTGATCTGATGCTGAATCCCTCGAATCAATGCTGTCGCTTCTTTCGACACTTCACCACCAGCTTTCACGCTTTTGTGCTCACTCTTCTCTTCACTTGACATTTCGCTTACTTTTAAAAGTTCCTATTAATGTAACTATTCGATTCATTTTTTTTATCGGCATTATATCAAACAAATATAACTAAAAAATAAACGGTAATTAAAACACATTACAATAATACCGATAAAATTTGGATTGAGCTGTCTTTGTTTTTAAAAAGTATTTCACAAAATTTATTTACTATTTTTAATTATTATAACAGAGCTTGAAATGACAAATGTTATTATATTAAATAAATATATATTACACTTATTAAAAATTGTCTTCAATAAAAATAATGTTGAAAACAACAAGAAACATTTTTAAAGGTAAAAATACAATCAAAATGCTGAAGGTAAGCAATTATACAAAAATAAACTAACAATGTATTATAATTACATTAAAATAATAAAAATAAGTCGGGAATGTTAAATAATTATTTGCCTGTTTTGTATTTTTACTAAAACACAATATAGTGTATAATAAAAAATATATAGTTTATTAACAATAAAATATAGAATTCACCAAAGAAAAAAATTATCATTCTGTTAGTTTCATGTTAATACTTTTATTACTAATTGTTTTCAAAATGCCTCAATCACTTTTTCTTTGAATATATTATACCATCGGCTTTATTTAACATTAATTCAATACTTTGAATAAATGTGTTCTTTGTATAAAAATGAATTATAACTTTAGTATTAAAAATTATGATATTATTATTATAAGTAAAACAATTATGAACAACAAAATATTTTATTTATTTATTCCATCATTTCTAAAAAAAAATAATTTCTCTATAATTTCTAAAAATCTGTTGTATAACAACTTGTAGTTTTGATAGTTAAATTATTAAATAAAGTTATTATTGATTTAACTAGAAATGTCAAAAGCATTTTCAACATGT